ATGCGGCTTTTTAATTTTAAAAATTAGAAAACCATAAATTGACATGTGAATATTATTTATTTAAAAATTATAACAAAGTGACAAGTGTTAAAACTCATTAGAAATTGAGATGTGGCAAAATTATCTTCATTTATTATGATAGATTTCATGGATGGTTTGAGTGGATTTCACATACTTTTTAATTATCTGTAATGTTCCTTTTCCTTTAGGGGGTGTCTGTTTCGCAGAATGTTTTTAGAATGAATGAAATCTATCAAAAGAATTGGAATCTGAATGTACTAGAATCTGAAATGCGTTTGGAGGATAAGGAATGGAATTTGTTTGCTGATTTTACAAAGGAATTAGAAAATAAATTTTATAATATGACAGAAGTACCATTTACATTTTTTTAATAAACAATACAAAGTTTTATTTAATTACATCTTTTATTGAACTATTCTACAAAATATAAATTAAAAAAATAACTAACTTGTATTTCGTTGAACACCTACAAATAATAAATATATTTTTTAAATTGAAATAAAATGATTATATATAATAATATAAAGCAACAAAGTCATTCATTATTCCCAATATTAAATTAAAAAAAATTAACCACAAACTACGTAAAATGTTGTCTAAATACCTAGTTTATAATCATATCACTCTTCTAATATGAACCTCACAAAATCCTCTTGATCTTCTCCTTCCACATTCCAAAAGCTTAAAATGGTTTCTGGATCACACATTATTTTCCTACTTGCTTTGAACCTATCCAAAGTACTCAATGACTGCATTTTTGATTTTTCAGGAATCACCATCGAAACTTTTTTTTTGTACTTCTGTTTTTCCTACTATTCCTTGATTCATGCTATTCGCTGCTTTTTCAAGTTTTTCTCCAAGGACGTTAGTTGCAATAGTTATTCCCTTAATAACAGCATCAACTCTAATTTTTCTCTTTTTGGAGCCCACGTTTGGAGATTCTTCAATTTATGTGGTTTGTTCTTCAAAACCATCTTCTTCTTGTTCGGATTGTTCTTCATTATTTGCATCTTCTTCCATTTGGGCAAAATCATTGGCTTTATTTCCTTGAGCTCAATCCTTTCCAAAAATGATACATAAATCCTCATAATGAGGAAATATCTTATTTCTCCATTTTCTTGCCTCTTTATGAACCTATTGTGTATCATAAAACATTAGCACATAAAAATATAATATAACCATTTCAAAAGTCATAAAATATACAAAACTTTTAATATTGTACCAGTAAATAAGAATCTCAAACAGTTGGTTCAACTGTTACAGAATGAGTGGAGTTATCATAACCAAAACCACTTGTGTTCGTACCATTCACCATATCATAAACGACTTGCCAATCTTTTTTTATAGTTTTGATCCTTGACTCAATGTGGGCTTTACCCAAAATGCCAGAGTTAGGAATTTTTTCCTTCAATGCGTTTTCTAGATGTTGTAAATATCTAGATTTAAAACCATTATCGGCTTTAAATCCTCTCATGTTCACCATATTTACCAATACTTCCACAAGCTTGGCATCTTCAGTAATAGTCCAGTTGCGATAGTTTCTGCTTTTTTCCATCACGCCTATTGTTATAAACATATAAAATAGATGAAAAAATGTGTGCAATACAAAAATACCCAACCATATATATAACAAATATAACCAGTAAAAATAAATAAAACTTTATTATTGAAAATAACAAAGGTAGCACAAATTCATTCATAGTAAATCATAAACATAACAAAACAAATGATCAATGTGTAGTAATCCAAGAATCAAACATAGTTTGTGCTAAGTTGTTTCTAAATGTAGTCCACTCATTTGATACACCAACATAAGTGATATTATCATCATCTCCACCACCGACATCTTCAGTTCCCTCGTCTAGTTCAAAGCGGTTCTCAAATGGATCAACCGTCATTTCCTACCTCATATAATTATGAAGAAGACAACATGCCATTATAATCTTATTTTTTAGGTTAATAGGATAATACGAGTTGTCTCTTAAAATTCCCCATCTCGCCTTCAAAATACCAAAACATCTTTCTATAACATTTCTAGCAGATGAATGTCTCATGTTTAATAATTCTTTAGGTGTAGTTGGTTGGTGTCCAGCACGCCAATCATTCAGATGATATCTTTGACCTCTATATGGGGCTAAGAAACCTTCACCATTTGTATAACCAGCATCTACCAAATAATAACCTATATATAGTATAGTTAGTATAATTAATAATTATAACTAATATATATCCACAATACCAATTATTATACATACCCGAACTCGAGACCTTCAATCCATGTGGCATGAGTAGTGTAACATCCATAAAAATCGAGGTAAATTTAAACTTTTTAAATACATTCCAAAGCCATAAAGTGTTTACAAATAGTTTTCAAAATATTTCTGACATCAGAGTTTTCCCAAAATCATAGATCATAAACAGAGGATGTGTATGGTCACGCCTTCACTTCCCGCGGTCATCCGAAGTACCTGAAACATAACCCACAACTGTAAGTCAACGCTTAGTGATTTCCCCCAAAGTACCAACACATAACCAAATAACACATATACAATAACAACATGCAATGGGCCCACAGCTAAAAGACTGGATTACCCATGAGCCCACAACATAAGTTTGGTCTTGCCCTCGGGGCCCACAGCTTATGTCTGGCTTGCTCCCCGACCAGATCAGTCCTTGGACTGCATACCATCAAGCCCTCAATACGAGTCTGGCATACCACCCGGTCCTCAACTAGTATCTGGAATGCGTAGGAGCCATTAGTATGAGTCTGGCATGCCCTACCCGGCCCTCGGCTCATATCTGGAATGCTCTAAGGTTTGTTGGCTACTGCACGGAGTAGTACAACCTCATCCCACCATAATATGTCGACATATAACAGATAACAACATATACAGATAATCATGCAGGCAGAATCACAGGTAGTCCTACAGATCTATCACTATCATATCACTAACTAGCATACTCATTCATATATATTCTATACTCATCATATCAGTGAACATCAGAATATCAAACCAATAGGCTGGACTTGGTGCCTTCGACCCGCAGGTACGGTGAGGAAAACTCACCTCACAAACTGGACAAAAGCTGAAGGAATCTCAACTCCGAATCTCAGCTCCGACTGCCTCCTATCCCAACAAAATGACCAAACTCAATTAGAATTCCCAAAATACCCAAAATACCCTTAAGGTCAAACTTGGTCAAAGTCAATGTCAACTGGTCAAACCCACTAAGTCAACTAAGTCAACCCAGCCGAGTCATACCAACTGAGCTGACCCAGTGCGAGTACACGAGGCGTACTCTGGAGGTACGTTGGGCGTACTCCAGCCCTCTCATTTGACCACCATCGGGGTGGTTGACCGAGTACGCGGGGCATACCGTCGCAAGCCCAAAAAC